GAGGCTTGCCGTTCAACTGTCCATTGACTTTTATTTGCATTCTTCTGTTAGAATTAATTGTCTTTTGTACTGTTAGGAGAGATAAAAGGTGTTCAATAGCTTTAAAAAAAACTGGGGGAGCGTTTGTGAAGAAAATCAAAGCTGAAACATGACTGGAGTTAATAAGAAGCAAATGTTTTTGTTGCCATGTTAAATAGCTGTGAATGTGCTATAAAGATATAGGATTTGGTTTGACCTCACCAACCTCTGCATCTGGCTATAGAAAAATAGGCCCTGGCAGCTTTCTAATGGGGTAATGGGTCATCAGCCCACCAAAGATTCCCCACCAGATCGTAAATGAACAATAATTCAGCAGATCAGCATTCTGTCCCATTATCCAAAAATAAACATCAACGTTCAGTCAATTTCTTAGCTTCATCAGTGGCCAACGACTAGGAAAGTTTTCTGCCAGTGTCTGTTCAGCAACACATACCACAACCACTTCAAAACATAGCTGGTTATATTTTAAGCCTGTCTGACTCCAGGCAAAAGGGGATGAATTGAATAGTCTTCTTCCATTCATACAGGAATATTTGATCTAGGAGAAGATTCCACTAATGGAAGAGTAGACAATTTCTGAGGATAACCCCTGCACCCTTGAATATTTGCTGCAGAGGGTTGCACGGCATGGGAGATTTAGCATTTAGTACTCCAGTCCTCCTAGTGATGTATGGAAGTGAGAGCTGGACCATAAAGAAGGCTGATCACCGAAGAATTGATGCTTTTGAATTATGGTGCTGGAGGAGACTCTTGAGAGTCCCATGGATTACAAGAAGATCAAACCTATCTATTCTTAAGCAAATCAGCCCTGAGTGCTCACTGGAAGGACAGATCGTGAAGCTGAGGCTCCAATACTTTGGCCACCTCATAAAAAGAGAAGACTCCCTGGAAAAGACCCTGATGTTGGGAAAGATGGAGGGCACAAGGAGAAGGGGATGACAGAGGATGAGATGGTTGGACAGTGTTTTTGAAGCTACCAGCATGAGTTTGACCAAACTGCGGGAGGCAGTGGAAGACAGGAGTGCCTGGCGTGCTCTGGTCCATGGGGTCACGAAGAGTCGGACACGACTAAACGACTAAACAACAACAACACTCCAGTCCTTCACTGAAGTAAATACTCTTTCACAACCAGAATGGCTCCTCCTGTTCAAAAAACTGGCACCATTGGATACAACCTTTTGTTTACTTGCTTCTGACCTGAAAATGTCCTCTGTGTACTGCTATCCATCTGATGTGCTTTGATAATAATAAGAGTTTTGAGATCAAAGGTACTCAATATTTCCTTAAAAGTGAGATTAACATCTATGTGAGATTTAAGGTGGTTCAAAGCACTTTACTGATGGTGTTTAGAATTCACAGAAAGAGAATGCATTATTAACTTAAATTCAACTGTCACTGAGAATTTTTCTTTACGCTTTTGATACTACCCATTTGGATTCATTTCCCCAGACAGCCCATTTTGTTGCCAAAATGACCCATTATTCAGAATTGTCATTCCCACAGTCTGCGCTGGTGCCTGACTCTGAAGCCTCAACGTTGCATAAAGGAAAAACACATGCCTGCTTGTTAAAGAAAACAAAAAGTCATTTCATTTTGCTGTTACATCTCACCAACACCTGAAGCTCTCCATGGCATTTCAAAATTCAAGCTAAGTGGTTGAAGAAGAAATAGAAGAAGGAGGAGGAGGAGGAGGAGAAGGAGAAGAAACCTTGAAAGGTCTCAAGAATCTTTTTATGTTGGTGGTATATTTGTAAATTGCATTGTGACATAAAAGCCTATTTATTGATTAAATAATAACAACAATAACAACATACTATAAAATATCTAAAGTGGTGTACATAATGCTGCTGTGCTTATATTATCAGGATAACAACTTATTTCAGATAGGGCCAGCCTGCCCATGAGGCGAACTAAGGCAGCTGCCTTGGGCAGTAGAATCCCATGGGGGCACCCTGCCTGACTTTGCCACCGTCCCCATTGGAGAAGTGAGGAGAAGCTGGTGCATGATCCAGGTAAGCAAGACTTTGGCAGAGAGGTGGTGGAAGGGGACAACACCTTCCCGTTTTAGCTCAGGTGGTGAAATGGGATGGGCCATCCCTGATTTCAGAGGTTGCCAACCTAGTGCCCATGGGCACCATGACACCCATGAAGGCTTCCAGTGGTTCTCCAGGGTAGGTACTCCAGACTCTGAGCTTTCATTTAATACATAAAGAGTCCCTATCCCCCCCAGAAAGAAAGTTAGGTGGCAAAATCATTCTAAGTGATTTATGTGAAATAAATGGTGCAGCTACCTTGCATCTTTTTTCTGGGGGGAAGCTCTGTTTTGTTATTATCCAACAATTGTAATTGTGTGTGTGTGTGTGTGTGTGTGTGAGAGAGAGAGAGAGAGAGAGAGAGAGAGAGAGAGAGAGAGATCTCCATAATTAGGACCAGCAGGACAAGGCTGACTTCCCATGTCAAACATAAAGTTCTCAGCAGTGGTTATCTATTTTTGTGTTACACTATACTCTCCATGGCAGCCATTTTGGTTTATGCCACACCCGCTCCATGGCAGCCTTTATGTGACCCCTAACACTCTCTCAGTTTCTGCATCTGAAATGCACCCTCTAGTCCATAAAGATTGGTGACCCCAGCCTTATTTTGAAAGAAAGAAAGAAAGAAAGAAAGAAAGAAAGAAAGAAAGAAAGAAAGATACTGCTTTGAAATTTCATAGTGGTTTCCAAATTAAAAACACATACAGGAGTACCAATTACATGATAAAACAACAACAAGGCAGAAACTCAAACAATTTAGGGTATAAAGAGATGCAATAACGGCCAGTAAACAAAGCAAAGCATACAACACAGCAGTGGTTGGTTTTCAAGAGGACTTTTTTTAAGCCAACTTTGAAAGGGTAGCAGGGAAGAGGCAGCACAATCTTGCAGAGGGCTCCTGCTCCTGGTGGATGCTCATCTAGCATCCCCCTAAAATAGGATCTGTAGCAGGACCTTGTCAGATTATCTTAAGTGGCAAGATGACAAAAGCCTCATATGGGAGGAGGCATTCCCTGAGATTGTCAGGAGATACTCATATATATTGGAAGCATGTTTTTTCACAGAAAAGCATAATGAAGCTGGAACCCTTCCAAGCCTATGCGGCTATTCTTTTTATAGCTGCATATGCACATTGTGAGAGTTCCGCCATAAGATAATATGAAGCTATTGGGTTTGAATTCTTGCTAGAACTTTGAATTTGGTTGGCCACTGTTAGAATGGGATGCTGGGCTAGGAAAGGGCAGAGTCAAGGGATAAGTTTAGAAAATTATGATCCTATACACATTAGCCTAGGAGTAAATCCCATTGAACTCAATGGGACTTGGTGAGCTCCATTGAAAATGGGACTTACTTATCAGTGGACATGCAGAGGATTACACCATTAGGCAATCTGTGTATGAGAGAGAACCTGAAACTCAGGAGGCAATCCAATGCATTAACCATGGACCTGAAAATCCATTTTCAAAAAGTTTTTCTCAGAATCTTGTCTGTTTTATGACATGTAGTACCTATGATTATAAACCTTCTTCCCCCCTTCTATTCCCTCCATCTTGTGTAGCTTCCTCTAACAATTCTGAGTCCACTTAAATCAGGATCCCTGAAGCTTTCAAACATGCCTTTCAATAACTCTTAGCTTTGCCCCAGCCTTCAAGCACATCTTTTGAAGAAGCAAATTGTGTGCATGACTTGCCAGATGTAAGATAAGAGCCTTTTGCTTGGTAGAGCAAACAGTACCTGTCAACAGCGACAATTTCAAGAAAAGAACAAGTCAGCAAATATGTATTGGGTTCTTACCACAATGTAGATCTGTGGCTTTCTTCTTTTTGCCAGGTCAATGATATTGACTCCATTGTAATAAAGGTTCTCAATGCAGCCATGGAAATTTTTCTTCAGAAAAGTTCCTGGTTTGCCTGGGACTGGGATTCCTCCAAAACTGAGCTTTGGGACAAGAACAAATTCAACACTCTTTTAAAAAAAACTCTAATAGCCATAACATGGAGAAAGAGAGAGGGAGGGAGAGAGAGAAAGTTCTTGCTTGTGAGTACACAGGGAAAAACAGACCATAGAAAACAGAATAAAGAAGTTGTTTCATTCCAATGTCTTTCATTGTCAAATACTAAATGACAAAAAGAGGACAAGATTTAGAAGGACAAATTTCAGTAGATGAAGACTTTTCATTGCCTGCCACACTTTTATGGTGTATTTATTTTGCAGCTTTGCTGTAAAGCAACTTCATGCTCAGAAAGAAGTTTGGCTAATCATCAGTATGCCTGATAGGACAGGATGAATCCTAAAATAAAATTAAGAACCAGACTGGCAATGACAAGCAATACTGGAGAATGTTTGGAGTGAAGTTCATTTAGAAGACATCTGAAGGCAGCCCTGTTTAGGGAAGTTTTTAATGTGTGGCATTTTAATGTATTTTTAATCTTTGTTGGAAGCTGCCCAGAGTGGCTGGGGAAACCCAGCCAGATGGGCGGGGTACAAATAATACATTATTATTATTATTATTATTATTATTATTATTATTATTATTCCCCCACAAGAGAATTCTAAATTTGCTTTTCATTGCTGTACCCAAACCTTTGATGCAGTGCCTCTTTCTTTCTCCACCCCTAACTGTCTAATATGGTTTCAAAAACCCAATTAAACAATAGTCCTGATCCCTAAATTGACCCAGGGCTGGATCTGGGGCTAGATGGCACAGAGCAGGTTTGCCTCATCCAGTGGTGTTTGTTTGCAGGGGTAGGGAGGTCTTTGCACAGCTCTACTTCTGGGTAGAATTGAGAATTCCAGTTCTGCAGCAGCCATGATGAAACCTCGAACCAAGTGGTCTCCATGCTGGTTTAATTAATTCAGATCATTTCCCACCCACTGGCTTCATCAGCTGTGGCTCTGCCCATTGCCAGCAACCCTGACAGAAAAAAGGGAAGGTGTACGGTTCAGTAGAAGATTATCTGCTTTACAAGCAGAAGGTCCCAGGTTCATTCTCTGCCATCTCCTGGTACAGCTAGGAGAGACTCCCTGGAGGAAACCTTCAGCAGCCGCTTCCAGTCAATGTAGACAATGTTGAACTAGAGAGATGGGCCGATTTGGTACCAGGCAGTTTCCTACAATGCTTTAGTGGGGGATGAAATTCCATCCAGCACAAGGTAAACACTGCCACCTGGACAGGCAAGCCACCTACTTGTTTGGTCTGAACTTCAATTTATTGACCCTCAGGCAGTGAATGACCAAGCTTTAAGCTTGTTCAGTAATTCCACTGCATCACCTGAATCAGATTTAAAAGGTAAACAGAGCTGGATGACATATTGACGACACCTTACCCCAAATCAGCTCACTGTCTTCATGTATTAAAGAGTGGGGGTGGGAAAGATGGGATCCTGTGGCACACCACAGCAGAGAAGCCAAAACAGAGCTAAGCAGTAGTCCCCCAGCATCAACTTTTGGAAGTTTTCATCCAGTGGGAATAGCTTTCCAAGATGGATACCATGGCTAATAGTAGCAGAAACTGCTGAGAGGCTTGGGGGGGTGATACAGCCTCACCCCAAACACCCACACCCACATATTTCGTTTAGCATAGGTCAGAGGTCTTTTGTTCTTATGTTCAGTGCCCAAGTCTGAAACTCATTTGAAATGCATATGGTAAGGTCATATTTGAGGAAGAAGGCAACAAAACCTTGCTTCAAGTACCTCTGCACTATGATAGTCATGTGTAATTTTAAGGCCCATATTAAGTGTAGTACTGGCAGAAGGAATTCTATTTAAAGACTAGCTCTTTAGCTGGGGCTCATTATTTCTTGCTTCAGACACTTTGCAACCTCTGCTCTTTCTTCCTGAGGGTTTTTTATTATTATTATTTTTAAAAAGTCTCTAGCTCAGGGATCCCTTTCTGTGGATTTTTTTAAAACAAAAAAACAAAAAACCAGGGCAATCAATATCAATTATACTGCAGCATTATTGGAAAAAACAGTTTCCTTAGTGATCAGTAATATTTTTAATTACCAGACTAATTGTTTTAGTTCCCTTAGCTAGGTCTTTAATCCCTTAAGTGTGCTAAGATAAGGTTTCATTAGTCTAGTAGTTGCTGGGGTGAAGCAATGGAGATATTAAAGCTAAGGAACAAACCTAGTTTCTTTTTCTGAACTGGTCTTTAGGTATAAATTGGCCTAATGCATATTGGGATCAAACTGATTTGTATTATGCTTAGAACTTAACTCAAAGAAATTCATGGGAGAATTTCTACGGACTGCAATAAGGATGGGTGCATTTCCATGTCACTTCCATATGTATTCACTCTTGTCTGTTCCTTTCCCATTTCTGCATTAATATTTAAATATATAATATGATGGAAATTCATAATTTAAATAAGCACTTCTAAACATATTTCTCCCATAGCGTGTATGCAAAATATATTGTGATACATTCTTTGAATGAAGAACGGTGTTTGAAAATTTTTGAAGCATGAAAGTACATTGATAGCAGACCAAGTCAGTTCAAATTAGATTTTTTCAAGCACCCATGAAACAGAATAAATCAAAGTATATCACCATTGCAAAGTTACACATGGTCAAGTTCCACCGAATCAGTGGAGCTTCACTTTGACCCAGTTCACATGTAATACCAAATGATGGTTTTATGTTGCATGAGTGAGAGTCATGTATTCAAGCCTAACTTGTCAAATGTTCTAACTCAAGGGCAAAAAGAAAAAAAAAGTTAGCTAAAGGGGGTGGAGAGGCAGAGAAAGAGAGGTGAAGAGAGTGTGAGCTTGAATGGTACACATTTCTGTTCCAAGGCAGGGATCCATCTTGGCGCAGAATGATGCAATTCACACCTTTGCTGTGTTGCATTTGGTTGTTCATGTCTGCCAAGCCTCTTGGACTAATGAGATTCCTCTGTATCTGTAGGCTGCTTGCTTTCCTCTTTCTCTGCCCCTTTTCCTAGCAGTTTAGATAAGTCTGCTGCTCCTTCTGCTGTGCTTTTGCTAAGCAAGTTTTGTGAGGAGTCACATTAAGCAAGCTTGATGTTCCTTGGATGCTTCGATGCTGTAGCCAAATGCTTGATGTTGTGAAGAGAGAGAGCGGGGGGCGGACTTTCAATCCACACTTCTGGCTCCTTTCCTCTTTAAAGGATTTGTTCCCAGTTCACTTTTAATTCAAGAGCAGATGGCTTACCAGTGGCAAATTACAGGTGCTTGGCTGACCTTGGCTGTCATCCTGTGCACATTGTGAGGATGGCAACCCCCACACCCTAACACTGCAGCAAGGAAGGGAGCTGTTCCTATCTTCTAGCAGTAATTAATAACTGAACTGCATCATACCAGATGTGGCGTTTAGGGGAGTTTAACCCCCCCTTCAATGTGGCTTGGAGACAGTGCAAGAGTTGCTATTCTTGTGTGCGATTAGCTTTCTTGGCACAAACTTTCAGGATAGGAGAATAGAAAACTGCCTTATACTGAGTCAATCTATTGGTTCAACTAGCTCAGTACTGTTTGCATTGACTGGCATCAGCTTTCTCTGGTTACAGGCAGTGGACACTCTAGGGCAGACATCTCCAAATTCGGCCCTCCAGATGTTTTGAGACTACAACTCCCATCACCCCTAGCTAACAGGACCAGTGGTCAGGGATGATGGGAATTGTAGTCCCAAAACATCTGGAGGGCCGAGTTTGGAGATGCCCACTCTAGGGTCTTCTGCATGGAAAGCAGCTGCTCTACCACAGAGTTACAGCCCTTCCTCTAATTTCATGTGTGCACTCCTTCTGCAGTAATGGAGTAAGTAAATCATTGTTTGATAAAATAGCATCCCTGCTATCACTAAAAAAGCCAGGTTGGATTGGAAAGCACATATCCTTGCATCATTTCTCTTAGGACAGCATATGCTACACAAAAAAAGTCTGACGCACCTCATAATCAATGTTCAAGTCATCCGAATCGCCCTTGGTTCGGAAATGCTGCATATACTTGTCCACCGTGAAGTTCACCTGCTTATTGAATCGCTCGATGAGGACCGAGTGCCAGTGTTGGTCATCCAGGAGGCTGCCCAAGGTGACGGACGTGTGACTGTTGCTGAAACGCAGCTTGGCATCTCCTGCAGGGGCAGTGAAAAGACACAGATTTAAACTAAGTCTCCGGTACCATGCTTCCGAAATGATTAGCAGCTAATACGTTTTGACTGGTGTATGTACGCAGCCTTGACTTGGCCACCACCCCATGCAGAGAAGCAGCAGGAATACCGTTATCAAGAGCAGAAGATAATATCACCAAGGCAACTATCGGTAAACAAACAATAAACATCTATAAAAATGGCAAAAGTAGTTTCTTTCCGAAATAGGTTTTATCTTAAACAATTGCAAACGCAGTAAAAAAGAATCCACTTGTGATATACCCCATCTTTGTTCTAAAATAGTGTTCAGGGCACCTTACAAAAATTCCACTCATGCCTACAATATATGCACACACACACACACACACACACACACACACACACGGAGAACCTAAAACTGTATTTTAAGAAGCAGCCAATAATCAACAGAACCATTACAGAAGGATTAAAATGATCATGTAGTGCAGAAATCATGGGTGACTAGACTGGTTGGGTCCCCATGACTTCCTGGAAAAGTGTGCCATTTTCTCTCACGTGGTAGGACCTACAAGCAGATTAGCACAGGGGAATAAGTCGTTTGGGTATTCCAGCCCCAACTCATGTACAGTTTTATAGGCCAATCTAGAGCTTTTATTGTAGTGACAAACATACTGGCAACCAGTAGAGATCATGAAGAACCAACAAAATATGATTACTGTGGTCAGTCCCCATCAATAAATTGACCACGTATATTGGTTCAGTTGTGACAAGCCAATCAGCATTCTATTTTGTACTCCCTCACCATCACTGTTACATGCTTTACATTGCTTCCACATTCCTGACACATAAGAGCAAAAAAGCAGAGTGACCCGGTGCTGCCGCAGGACTAAGGAATGGGAAACAAACCCTAATTCACACTTTCTGAACCAACATGTGTCGTGAAATGTTCAACATGTTTTGCATCACAAACACACACACACAGCTGATAGAGAAATTACAAAACTTAGCGTTGTATTCAATGTAGCTGTATGGTTGGGGTATGTATGTGCAGTCCCTGGGCACTTTTCTTCCAAGGAAATATTGGTGGCTCTTGACTTCAAAATGTTTGTCCATTCCTAATGCATAGAACTTCAGCCTAAATGGCCTCCCTATCTTTGTAAAATCAGTGGGATATTCTGAACTCTCTCATGAAAAGCAGAGTGACTAATAGTGTCAAAGAACTCTGTTTAAAACTTCCTTTCAACAATGGATATTTTACAATTGTAATGCACTAATCTCCTTTAGGTATAGGAATAATAGGCATCATTTCCAATGAAAAAATAAGAAAGAAAGAGATTAGCTGAGGACAAAGCATGTTAATGGGTTTATGTAACAAGGGGAAAGCTCTCGAAAGTTGTCACAAACATAATTAATCAGAAAAGGGAAGATGAGAAAAGGCTTAAAAAAAACTAATTCTCCTTTTAATGCTTTTAGCTCAGTATCTTCAGATGAAAATAAAATCTACTTAAATATAGCACATATCAACTGATCATAGAATCAGATGTCACCTCATTTTAACCTAGACTAGGGTTGCAATCCTACACACACTAGCTGTGAGTCAGTCACTCTGAATGGGATGTGTTAGATTGCATCTAAAGGTTCAAATCTTATATACACAACTGGAGTAAGCCACACTGAACATAGTGGAACTCATTTCTGAGTAAATATACACAAGTATAGATCAGGGTGGGCATAAGGTAGACTGTGGTCCATTGATGAACCATTAACCAATTTCTGGTAGACTACATACCATATTTATGCAAATTCAATGCACCATTGAATCTAATGCACACCTCAATTTTCAAAACCTTGAAACCAAAAAAGTATTTTCTGGCACCATCAAATCTAATACACACCCTAATTTTCAAGATATAATTTGGCCAAAAAAGGAATGCATTACATTTGAGTAAATACGGTAGTTGTTGAGTTTATTGCAAATAATGCTAGTTGAGGTGGCAAAACACTTAATGTTCTCAAACTAGAGACCATTTTCAGGATACTTAAATGGAGTTGGCCTGTTAAATGTAAAATCCCCTCTTTAAAGATTTAATAAACTTTGGTACCTATTGGGATTCTATTTCTTTTAAGTGCCCACTATGAACTTTATTGAATTTAAGAGTGTGCTGCAGGCATTCCCAACCTGCAGCCCTCCAGATGCTTTGGCCTACAACTCCCATGATCCCTAGCTAACGGGACCAGTGGTCAGGAATGATGGGAATTGTAGTCCAAAACATCTGGAGGGCCGAAGGTTGGGGATGCCTGGTTTACCATCTTTGCAAATCTTCACACTAGGGCAAGGATGAGGGTGAGGTGCACAACTATTTGCAGATAAATCTGACCTGGTTCTCTGTGATGGAATAGGTGCTAATTCGTACAGGGATTATATTCTCTCAAATAAAGCATTGTTGCAGTTTTGCTATTACTACTGTTTGAGAGTTGAAAATGCCTGTTTTTTATGTTTATGTTTTGTCTGTTGTTTCTTTTGCTTAACGTGAAATTTCTCAGAAAACTATTAGACTCTTTCTTAAGCGAAACATCTGAACAATTTCATGAGAAATAATTGGAACTTTGAGAAGAAATTTCTAGTGGTGGGATGATGGGTTACATGTGCCCATGCTGTTGGTGAAGCATTCACCACTAATTTATAAGTGGCAAAAAGTTAATGTACATAAAAAAGGCCCCAGAGCAGGCCTTCAGAGCTTGTAGCCTACTATGCTAAACTGCAGAAGTAAAACTGCAAAAGGAAAAGCCTTGTTCTGCTGTCTACCTGCCAAATTGGAAATGTAGGCACTGGGGGCTATCAAGCACTCAACAGGTCACAACACAAGGTTGGTGGGATGCATTTGGCTTTATGAATCACTAGTTATGTAGGCATGCCTAGAATTCACCCATCCAAAAATACAGATTGAGAAATATTATTAGTTGCTGCCTTAACTTTAGCAAGCTTGTCACTATGCAAGATGTGTGTCTTCCGGTAAGGAAACTGCTTATGAGAAAGCACTATTGTGCAGAAGAACTAATATGATGAAATTCATTTTGTTATTTTCAAATGTCTCTCTAACATATACTGCTTTGGTTCTTGCTATGTATTGTTACAATCTGTCTAGTGCTCTTTTGCCACCCACAATCTTCCTCCTACTTGCCTGATGCCCCTTATTCATTTTGTCATTTAGAATTTGATCTGTTTTCTAAGGAGAGAGAGAGAGACAGATCGCTATGCAATGATGTTTTAAAATAATTTCCATCCATGTCTCTGATTAAGGGAATTTTAGGCCTGGGGGTCAAATGCATCCTTAATGGACCTTGGGACTCTCCTCAGGCCACACTCCCTCTTCTCTGAGTCATATCCCTCACTAGCCCTGCTTTGCATCCTTAGTTTTTTGGGGGTTTCTTTTGCCAGGCTGTCCTTAAGCTCTGATAACACTTCTCACTTGCCTGGATGGAAGACAGATAGGGATGTGTCAGTGTGAAGAAACGAGTCTATTTCAAAGATGTTAAATTCACATTTGTTATTATGCCAACTTTTGCCTCTGATCCCACCCACCAATGGTTTGTACACAAACACACACACACACACACACAGAGAGAGAGAGAGAGAGAGAGAGAACCAAATGAGGTCCTCAGCATGAAAAATGTTCCTGCCCCTGGGATATAGTATAACAGATCAGGAAAACCATTGCAGAAGACAAAATCCTTTATTTCTGAAGTAGGAGAATGTGGCTCAGGAAATATCACATGATACTGAATTATTGTGATTTAACCACAAGAGACAGCTCTCTTAGCTGACAATAATGAACAGTTGCACTAGGTTTACATTTCAAAAGGAAGGAAGAAACAAGAACCAGAAATAGGAAAATAGGAAGGGTTTATTATTGTTGTTATTGTTATTGTTTCTCCTTGGGGAACCTGATGCTGTCGTTATGCTTCACATGAACTCTTTTTCTATACACTCCAGACATTTACTCCAGGCTTTCTTATTTTCCTTGCTTGACTGCATACCGATAGCTGAATGCATCACACACAGCTAACGCACCTCGCCCAAGGCAGGGGTTCAATTACAGGGAATCAAAGACCTGTTTTCTGCGTGGACAGAGATGACCCAGCGCAGTGAGGAGCTGCAGCAGCTGTGAAATGAATCCTTGAAGTGGACAGATGGGCAGGAGCACAACCTCTGAAATGATCATCTGAGAAAAGAATCATCTTCTAACCAAAAGGAGGGAGGGAAGGAAAAAGCTTTGGTAGGCAACACAATTGAATCCTTGCAAACTTGTCTGTTTTAAAGAGTAGGGAACAGAAGCAAGTTTACCAGCTGTTAGTGGCTTTAGTTCATTAACTATTTGTCTCTTAACAGATTAATCTGATAGCTAATAAATGAGAATAAATAAGAGTTGCCCAAACCTGACTCTAAGAATATATAACAAATAGATCTGGATGAATACCAAACACAAGGAATCACCAATTACGGCTATGCAACCACATCTGTAGCAGGAGGAATGCTCTATACAGGCAACTCCCAATTTATGTGGAGGGTTACGTTC